GTACCAGTTACTTCAAGTATCTGGTGCTTTTTGTATCTCTGCTTATGGTATATTTTGTGTTCTGTTTCTTAAAAGCCTATTGTAAAACCCTAGCACTTGAGAAAGCAGCTATAACCAACTGGGACCCTGGTCTCTCTATAATTGATAGAATATATCAAGTATAAAGCAAACTGGGTTTGGAATCAGAAAACTTGGGTTTGAGTTTCAGCTCTGCTACCTAATAATATCTGTATAGTGAACTTACCATAACTCTTAGCACAGTGCCTGGCACAAGTAGATAATTAATATTTATTGATTGAGGGGCTTTATGGTGTAGTGTATAGGGTGCTGTCCTCAGAGTTAGGAAGATCTGAATTAAAACCCTGCCTGTAACAAACCGACTACATAACTGAGGAACTCACTCAGCCACTTGGTACTCCAGGCAGCTTTTAAAGATAATAAATTGCTGAACAGCTGCAAATATGCTTTGGTAGAAGTTGATTCTAATTACTTACATCATTAAAAGTATAGGATAGGACTTTAAAGAACCCTGTCAGGCAAGTTGTGAAAATATTAATACATCCATTCTATAGATGAAGAAATTAAGTGGTTTAATATAGGGTTTAGAGTTATATAAGATCTTAGAAATCTAGTCTATATTTTACATACATGAAACCCAGATAGATTACCTGTGTAATTTAAATGACTCAGATCAAAGTCAGAACCTCTAAATCCAATCCTTTTTTTTTTTTTTTTACTATACCACATTCCCTACTTATACCTAGTATCCTCTTAATTAAGCAATTTAACCATTCTGGTCATCAGTTTCCTCATTTCTAAGATGAAGAGCTTCAACTAGATAATCTCCAAGGTCTTTTGCAGCTCTAAATCCTGTGATACAAATTGTACATGATTATGTCTTTGAAGATTTTGTCCTACCAACCTGGCAGTTTTCCCATTAGAGTTCACATAATAATGATCAATAATAATAAAACTTCATATTTGCACAGTGACTTGCAACTTATGAAGCAGTCTTACATCTATTATGTCCTTTTATCCTCATAAAAACCTTGTTTGGCAGAAAGGCAGGATTTATTATCATAATCTTAAAGGTGAGGTTTAGTGAGGTTAAATGACTTTCTGCTGATCATAGAGCTAGTAAGTAAAGGAGGTGGAAGTCAAATCTGTGTCTTTTGACATAATCTCACATTATTTTAATTCTGCTCTTCAAGTCTCCTTCCCTGTTCCTTCTAGTTGTTCAGATACTCTTCTGTCTTCTATTTCAATAATGTCACTGTCTTCCCCTCTCCATATGTTATGTTGAATGGAGTTAAATTTTAGTGACCATTGCTTCTTTACATATGAATTTATTATAAACCATTGTTGGTGACTTTGCCAATTCTTTAAGTGCTAAGAAGAGTATACAAGTGTCACTGATAAAAATATTGTTGTCATCCCAAATTTCATAACCATGAAGAAGTCTTGATCAATCACTGAAATTAGATCTTTCAGTTTCAGTTGGAATATATTTGACATTCCACCCTCCAATACCCTAAAGATCCTGTTGGGCTTTAAATTTTATTTTTTTTCCTTCTTTGTTAGAGCAGGAGTACTACCCAAAATGTTTCTCATTTAATTCACGGATTTGCCTTTCAAAGTTTTTTCTAAGCTCTAGTCTTTTCAGTAAGGATGCTTGAAGTCTTCTATTTCATGAAAAGTTCACTTTACCCCCCATTGATTAGTTGTCTTTCACAATTTCTTGAAAGAAGATGATATTCATGTGCTTTTGTTGGTCATGGATTTCAGGTAGTCTAATAATTCTAAATTATCTTTCCTTAATCTATTTTCCAGCATAGTTGTTATTGAGAGAAGATATCTTACATTTTGTTCTATTTTTTCAATCTTTTCATTTAGTTTTATAATTTCTTGTTGTCCCATAGAATCGTTAACTTCTGTTTGGTCTATTTTAATTTTCTTTCTTTCTTTCTTTCTTTCTTTCTTTCTTTCTTTCTTTCTTTCTTTCTTTCTTTCTTTCTTTCTTTCTTTCTTTCTTTCTTTCTTTCTTTCTTTCTTTCTTTCTTTCTTTCTTTCTTTCTTTCTTCTTTTTATTTTGGCTGGCAATAGGGTTAAGTGACTTGCCCAGGGTCACACAGCTAGTAAGTGTTATGTGTCTGAGGCTGGATTTGAACTCAAGTCCTCCTGAATCCAGGGCCTGTGCTCTATCCACTGTACCACCTAGCTGCACCTGTTCATTTTAATTTTCAAGAAGTATGTTATTTACGTAAGGTTTTATATCACTTGTTCCAAGCTGTTAATTATCTTCCCCAGTCTCTCCACCATAACTTTCATTTCTTTTCAATTCTTTTCTTTATTGCTCTTGTTTCCTTTATAATAATACTTATTCTACCCTGTACTTCTCTTTTTCTTCCAGTTGTTCAGATATTCTGCTGTCTTTTTCTATTCCCTTAAAAAAACCTCTTGCATTATTTGTTTTAATAATTTTAAGTGGTCTTGTGTGCAAGATAGGTTTTTCTTTAAAAATTTGCATGTAGGTATTTTGGAGTTAGCTTCTTCTGCTAGGTGTGTATCTGCTGCATCCTTTACCTCACAATAGCTTTTTATTTATTTTTGTTTATTTGTTTGACTAGCCATTCTTCTAGCAGTCTGTTCTGAGCAACCTGGTCTATATGGAAGGTTTTGGGCATCTGAATCAGTGATCTCAACCTTTCTGGAAGAACTATCTATGCTGTTTACCTGGGCAGAGGACCAAGTCCAGGACCTGCTCTGGGTGGCTCCATACTGGGGACAGATGGGGCTGTCCAGGTATTAAGCTATTCATCTGGAATATAGATTTGAGGTCCCTGTGCTACAGATGTAGTTCAGAGTTCTAGGTACTGAGTCTAGACTCCTGACCTCTTTTGGAAAATCTTGGTTTGGGTCCGAGGCTGAATCTGTGATCAACTTTGAGTGTCCCTGCTCTGATGGCCTAGTTTGGAGTTGTGGGTGCTGAGTCTGCTAAATCTATATTGCTGTCTGAGCTGCTAGACTAGGCAGAGTTTTTGATCTGCTCTAGGTTGGCTTAATTCAGAACTCTTGGTACTGATCATGGAATCCTGGTCTCTCTAGGAAATCCTTTATTATTGGCTTAGGCCTGAGGCTGTGTTTATTTCCAGATGTCCCTGAGCTCAAGGCAGTAAATCCATGATCTGGCCCATCTATCTTCCATAGTTCCAAAGTTGTGCCCTGTTCTTTGCCTAAATTTGTACTCTTGGGCTGGAAAAATGATTGACTGTGGTTTCCCCTTTCATTTTGCATCCACTACTCATGTCGGCATTCTTAAATTATTTTTGGAGTGGTTTCCATGGAAGCTAGGATGTACAGTTTCTTCTTAATCTGCCATCTTATTTGCATCTGGGAGATATTAAAAGAAATTATTGGCAAAATACTTAGGAAAAATAAGAAATTAAGTTTTTGTGTCCAATTTTTTAAAAAATGTTGCTCTTATTCAAATGATGCAATGTGATAGACACTATTCAGATAAAGAGGCAGTCTTTTCCATTGACAGATTAGTCTAAATATCAATGACAACTAGATTTCAAGGGCCTGATGCTCAGGACTATTTGCCCAAAACTCTCCTTTGGCTAAAGAGTGGCTACTTGAGGAGTTAGCCCTAGCTTCTGCCAGAAGGAAGAATATTAAATTTTACCATAGTACTTGCTAAAAGGGACTCTAAAAGGACTCTGTCATTCTAATCTCTGCCTAAAAAGGAGAATTCCAAATGAAAAGAGTTGTTATCTCCTCATTCATAGAGCATCTCTCCCATGTTTGTGTGATTCTGTGTATGTATTTCCTTTCAAGTGCTATACAATAATTATTGATACACTTTATATAATTTGCATAAGGCCAATGAGGTTTTGTTTTATTAATTTATTTAATTAATTGATTCTTTTTTTTTAATACCTGGCACAAGAGTTTGGTTTACTTGTATATGTTTTGTATTTGTCAGTAGTTTCATTCAATAATAATTCCTTAACTGTCTCCATTTTTTGTTTGTGACTTTTTTAATCTTTCTCTAACCTTTGAATCCATTATATACATTTTCATAAATATCCAGAAACTAACTATGGTGTATGAACTCAAAGGGCAAAACAATATTGACCTCTAATTATCTAGTACTAACCTCTGTTTTTGATTTTTAAAATTATTATTTTGGAACAATTTCATTTTAACCATTTTATGTTTTATCATAATAACTTTTGATTCAATTCAACAAATATTTATGAACTATCTGGTCCATATCAGGGATAAAGAAATAATCTCTGTCCTCAATGAACTTGAATTCTACTGCAGAGGATACAACATAAATATAGTTGAGTAAATTCAAAGTAGTTTGAGAAGGGAGATTTAGGAAAGATTTCATATAGGAGGTTTCAACTGAAGTGAGCCTTGAAGGAAATTAAGAGTTCTATTATGTTCAGGTGAAGAGGCAGTACATTCTGAGTATGAGGGATATACTGAATGAAGACAAAGAGGAGATGAAATACCAGTTCTGGGAGTTTAGTAATAGAAATAGTAGGGGGTGTTGTTTTTATTTTCTTCTGGAAGTCACAATGTATGAAGGGAGGATGATGTGAAGAAAGTATGGAAGAATTAGGTTGGAGGCAGGTTACAATTTTTATTTTATTCTCTAGGCAACAGAAAGCCAACTCATTATGTTTGAGCAGAAGAATGACTTGATCAGACCTGTGTCATAGGAAAATTATTTTGAAAATTGTGTGTAGGATAGATTGGAGAGGGGAAAGACTTGAAATAAAGAGAACAATTTGGGGGCTATTATAACAGTCCAGGCAAGAAGAGAAGGAAGTGTAAGCTAGGGTATTAGCCATGTTAGTGAAGAAAATGAGACATGTGAGAAATATCAGGGACATAGGCTACACAAGGCTTTCAGTGTAGCATATCAAAATTGTCCTCAGTTCAATGCCCAAGGATATATATTTTGCTGTCTTTTTTTTCTTTTGCAGTTGTCAGTGAAGATCTACACTCCAGTCTATATTTTGTCAATGCATCTTTGCAAGAGGTAGTGTTTGCAAGCACCACAGGGACGTTGGTTCCCTGTCCTGCAGCAGGGATCCCACCTGTGACACTCAGATGGTACCTAGCAACGGGCGAGGAGATCTATGATGTTCCAGGGATCCGCCACGTCCACCTCAATGGCACTCTCCAAATTTTCCCCTTCCCCCCTTCAAGCTTTAGTACCTTAATCCATGATAACACTTACTATTGCACAGCTGAAAATCCTTCAGGGAAAATCAGAAGCCAGGATGTCCACATTAAGGCTGGTAAGTACAAATCATTCATATTTTCTTCTATTCTGCAATCTATTTTTAATGTATGATTAGGTAGTTTGGAGGCAAGTTAAAAACTGGTCACTGTTGAGTATCTGAGAGCCATTCAATATAGGATTTATCATTTTAGTAGATTTTATGAGTCTTTAAAAAAAATTCAGAGTATTAATTAGTTAAGATACTAGGAACTGAAACTGAAGCAGCAAATCCAAAGTGAAACAAAAACATTAAATCTAATGAATTGCTAAATGAATTAAAATTTATTTTTAACTGAATTATAAACCAAAAACTTTGTCCTTCTCTCCTTAAAACAAACCAAAAACCAACAGAAAAGAAGCTAAAAGAAAAAAAAATATCCTAAGCATCACTAGAGAGCTAGTTAAAGATACATAGATAATACATAAATAAGCATACATACATACATACTTTATGGATCTATAATTTCATATTGTAGGTTATTCCTTCCATCAATTTAGATTGTGAACTCTCTATACCTTAGTAGCTGTGGTTAGAGAAAAATTATCACCCACTAGCTGAACTAGTATTGAGACTCTTCATTTATCTACTAACCTTTGGGCAAAAGACATGCTGTCTATCACTGACTATATTTAAATTCTTTCCAGCTTGGTAGGATCTGTAGTTTGCACTGTTCTGGGAGAGCCTTTAAGAATCTAAAATTATCTTCACAGCAGGATAAGCCAACAGAGTGGAACTTTCTAGGTGATTATAGAGTGGTATAAAATGCACAAATGTATATGAATACACACACACACACACACACACATGCATATCTTATAAATATAAATGGGAAAACAAGCATAGTGAAAAATGAATACTCAAATGGATGTGTGAGCTCATTTTTAAGGGTATTTCTTTTCAGTGATGAAGATTGCTACCCATTCATGACTGCCCATATTCTATGCCTCTCATCTATGCCTTCCCATAAATTTGCCATACAGAGTCTAGCCAAAACATTGTGTATAGATGGGGTGAGAAGATGGGAAGCGATCTTCTTTACTTTCTCTTAACTTTGGGAGAATACCAATAGAGCACATGATCTGTCAATCTTTTTTTTTTTTCACTTTATGCCTGTGATTTTCCTGGTTATATATAGAGAATTCCTGGCTCCAAAATTCCCTCCACTAATGCAGATCAACAACTCATGTTACTTAGAGTCGTGTAGAGTTTGCATAGGACACTGAGAAATTAAATGTCTTTTCCATGGTTACATAACTAGTACATGTCAGAGGTAAGACTTTCCTGCAGCATCCTTTTTCTAAGGCAAGTCCTTTATCCATTACACCATGTTATTTATGAACCATCAAATAAATAAGTAAACTCTCATTTGGACAGTTAACTGTCTTATAACACAACAAAGATGGTATTAATGGTTTTTTGTTTCCTTTAAAAGGCTATTACAAGATAGTGATAGAATTAATTTCTGTTGCAATTTTGGTAGCAGTGGTTGAATAAATTGCAACATGTGCATAAAATATAGAATGCTCCCAATTTCCTATTTGTGATTCTTTCATTTCAAGGAGAGAAAAGTAAGAGTATGACTGATTCTGCTAGCTGGTCATTTCTACTACCTCATTTTGATCTCTGTAACCTTAGAAATGATTTTTCAGACTTTTCAACGATTATCTTCAAGAGAACTAGAAAAGGACTGTGACTAAAAGAAGCAATATAAAAATGGCACTATACCTAAGGATTAAACTCTTAAATGATTTGTTTTAAATTTGTTATTCAAATTAGAGTACAAGTACACTACAGTATATTTTAAAACAACCTGCATCTTCTAAGGAAAGCAAAATGATATTTGAGTAAGATTAAAATATTATTAGAACATGTGCTCCTGTAGCAACTTCCTCTCTAACTTGGATAATTCATTTTAATCTTTGAGTTTCTGGCTTGGATTTCTAGTTGGAAAAAGAAATTAAGAAATTAAGGTATTTAAAATTTTTTTTAACACATATAGGGCATCAACAGTATTTAATAGATTGGAGAGCTCAACACAGGGAATTGGGAGACAGTGTTAGGTGTTAGGGGCAGGCCTGGAACCAGAATTTGTTAGTTCAGGTTTAATATTAGAACAAAATGAGAGAATCACATGTTGTTGAATAGTTAACAAAGAGGTTTATTTTGTTTTAACAGAATAAAGACATGCTATACAATACAAATGGCATTTAGGTTCTCTAGATGAAGCCACAATTATCTCCATATTGAAGTGCATCTTATCAGCAGGATACATGGTATAGTGACTTGTGAGGTCTTTAGTCAACCACCAAGTCAGATGGATTCCACAGACACATAGGTGGGACTTTTTATGCCCTAAATTAAATATGAAGCTATGTCCAGTGAAACAATGGCCAATCAGTTCCCAAGGACACTTTGTTGCTTTTTAGGGAAAGCTAATCCCTTTTGCAGGGAAAGAAGGGAACCCTGGTCCTGTTACATATCACTGCCATAATGGTAAGATCCTAAACATATTCTAGAGGACCTGCCACCATTTAAATACTTTTGGTGCTTTTATTGGACAATCCTTCTGGGATAGGCAGTACCAAAGGGAAAAGAAGAAAAAAAATTACATTTCTCCCTCCCTGCAAGAGTCACCACTAAAAATAAACAGAAATAAGGGAAACAAAACCAGAAATCCTAGATTTTTCCTCTTCCTTTTGGAAGGAGCACATCGCAGATCTTATTAATCTGATAATTGTGATAAATGATTTGTAGTTCAGTGGGTCTCTTAATTTAAGGTGGTGACAATAAACCACTGAGCATAAATAGTACCAGGGAAATCAAGGCCATAGCAGAGAATATGATACGTCTAGAAAATTAACACATCATCTTTCATTAAAGTTATTTATAGTAAATATATATCTGTAGCAAAATGTCTAAGAACTCATAAGCCTCTTACATGCAATCTGTCTTGGAATTAAAGTTAATACTGTTACTTATTCAGTATCCCTTGGCTCACCCTGTGCTTTTTAACATGCTGTTTTCTGCAATCTTGTCAGAAACCTTCAATGAATACAAAAATGGCATCAAGGTCAACTACTGCACCAATGGTAAATTATTTAACTTGAAAAGGCTACAAGCCAAGATTAAAGTGGAAGGAGAGTTGGTGTGTCACTTTTTGTTCACATATGACTGTGTGCAGTCAGTGCAGCCTCTGAGGCTGAGATACAGCAAAGTAGGGATTGATTCTCTGCTGCTTATGCTAATTTTGGACAATCAACACCATGAAAACACATGTTCTCTTCTAGCCAGCATTACACTATCCATACATGGAACCATCCATTACAGCAAATGGAGAAATTTAGAGTTCTGTGGATAAGTTCACTTACTTTGGCAGTATACTTTTCAGGGATGTACACATAGATAATAAGGTGGTTGTATGCATTGCCAGAGCTATCTCAGTGTTTGGGAGGTTCTGAAGGAAAGCGTGGGACAGAAGTATTAGGCTGCCTACCAAACTGAAGATCTACAGAATCATTGTGCTGACCTCATTGTTGTATGTCCTGGACAGTATACCACTACCATGCCAGAAAATTGAATCACTTCCATTTGAATTGTCTAAAGAAGATTCTGATGATCACCTGGCAAGATAAGGTACTGGACACTGAGATCCTTTCTTAAGCTGAACTGACAAGCATTCAAACTCTATTGAAAGAGTACATCAGTGGCCATGGTGTTTGAATGCCAAAAATGTATTTGCTTAAAAGATTATTTTACAGAGAACTCGCATGAGACAAGTGCTCACATGGAGATCAGAAGAAATGATGCAAGGATACTTTGAAAGTCTTTCTGAAGAATTTTAGAATTGATTGTAAGGCATTGGAGACACCGGCACAGGACTGTCCATCATGGCATGCCCTCATCAAAAAAGACACTATACTCTATGAGAAAAGCAGAATTGTAGTAGCTCAAAAGAAATGTGAGATGCTTAAAGACATCTCTACTCCAAATGTTCACATGGTCTATTTGTGCCCAACCTGTGGTAGAGCTTTCGGAGCTCATATTGGTCTGATCAGCCACAGTTGTACACACTGTACCTTGACCCTAACATTGTACTGTCATTTTGGTCCTCTTAGAAAGAAGGACAATGACCATTCCCTGGCTCACCCACCAATCCTCCCCCAGGGTCCTGAAAGTCACATCAGAGGACTTACATAACATCTTTGACCTTTAGAAATTGTGTAGAGGGATTTCCCTTTTCTTCCCTAGGAGTGAAATAAGATTCCTCCTTTATCTCCCATTCAAGGACTCAGAATTACTACCAAGTCAGGTAGGAAATCCCATTTCTTCCAAATAAATACACTTCTACCATAGTTTTATTGGCTAAAGCTTTACTTCCTGTATGGTACTATAAATCAAGGTACCTCCCCAAAGTTCCCTAGCTCTTCCTTGGGAAGAGTTACCTGAACTCATCTCAGAGGAAGGGGAGCCTGACAATTGAGGGGAATGAGCAATTTCTCCAAGGTGTACAGAATTTCTCTGAAGGAATAGGGACCTTAAGGCCTTGGCAACTTCACTGGGGAAGGAATAAGGAAAGACTAGAGAAGGTCACCTGGAACTACATCCAAAAAACAGTTCGTGCGTGTCAAGTAAGTCTTTTTGGAGATTGAATCCTATATACTGCTAGAGATCTCTTTCTTTCTTCTTAATGTGACATTGATTTATCATAGATGCAGCTTCTAGGAGGTTAAGCACCTGATCTGGGAAGTAACGCAATGATGCAGCTGTTGATTATATAGTAGGGGAAAACCTCTTGCCCTGACATGAAAGAGTAACAATTTACCAGTTGGGAATAGGTTGTGATGCCACTTGAGTAAGATGGGAGCTCTGACTGGCAAAAAGAGGCCAGATGGGCAGAAGTAGCTACCTTGTCCCTAGTTAAAGGAATCCTATGTTTCCATGCCAAGCAAAATATCACCTATAAATAATATCACCAAAAATATCATTCTAGTATTCATATTTACAATGGATCCCAC